ATCTGTTTTCTCAAAACAATTTGCCAGATTTGGACTCTTTGGTTCAGATTTAGAGCCGTGACAATTTGAGAGTCCGAACTTGTAGTGAGCCCAAATGAACAGAACGAGACTCATCCTCCCGGGGCGTTCGGGGACGTCTACACTCTCTCTCTCTCTCTCTCTCTCTTTTTTTTTTTAATTACTGATTGCATTGGTTTTAATTTTGATTTGTGCCATAAATCTAATTTCAATGCCTATTTTTTTAATCTAATTTTTTGTTGATTAAATTTTGTCATGCTTTTGTTTTGCTTGAATCAAATATTTTCTTCAATTGTCCTCCAATTTTGTGGATGTTCTTTGAATTGTAGTTATGAATTGAATTTCTATTGAGTTTTAGATAATCTATCTCAGTTGAATTTCTCTTCAATTTAGATTAATTTTATAATCATATGGTTGTTCTGAATGCGAAAGGAAAAAATAGAAAAACTAATTCAATTTAAATAAAATTAAGTAATTTCATTTTGCCTCACAGTTTTTTTTTTTGGTTGTAGTTTTATATAAAAGGCCCCTATTTTAATGTTAGCCTTGGGCCAGAAAAACTCCAACCCTGCCCTTGTGTGAACAATATACAAAATATATTGGCCAAAATATGTAAACTTTAAACCCAAAAAGTGTAATAAGCCCACCCAAAATGGTAGGATCTATTATTTTACACCAATCAAAATGTGTGTATTATTTATACTTTTTTAAATATATGATCTATTTGTAAACAAAATAAAAAATTGGACTTGGTGGCATACCGAAAGAGTTGAGAACCTTACTCTTTCTTAAACCTCTTTTACTAGAAAAAAAATAACTATACAGGTATCATTCCACCTTCCTTTGGCAAAACTTCAAGCTTAACACAGACTGACTTGGCATATGACATCATTGATGGAAGAATTTCAACTGACTTAGGACAACTTTCAAATTTGTAGACATTTGACTTGAGCTTCAATTATCTCATAGGTTTGATTAGATCCTGCAATTTTTAAGTAGTGTTCATTAAAATAATAATCATTAAAATTTACTTGAATTCTAATGTCTTTCTTTTGACTTTCCCAGCTTGTAAATCTCAAATTGCAAGTCCATTAACTAACTGGGCACACATGAAAATATATTGAGGGGCCCATGACTCTCATCATGGATTATGTTTCAATTATCCAAAATATTTATTTTGCAGAGCTTTGCTTATATATAATGCTTGAAAAAAAAATTAGGTCAATCATATAATCGTATCTTTTTTATTTTATTGTATTTGTTTCCAAAAAATTATATGGTCTTTTTTAAAAAATGTTTGTCGATTTTTTAAGAGGCAAATGCGATTAAAATAAAATATTACGATTATCAAATTAACTTAATTTTTTTCATGATGATATATATACTTAGGATCTTAGAAAATGATCGATTAAGATCATTGAAACGAGACCATTGATTATCACATGATTTAGACCATCCAAAATGTAAATAGCTGAACCATATTAAGACTATCACGGTCCACACGTATTTATTTTTTATTTCCCTCAAATTCATGAAGATTTCGAGTCAAAATTTAAGAGTTTGGAAGCTATCATGTTTGGGTGATTCTCATAGTCTGTATTTTGGAAGCGATTTTGGTTATCTGAATCATTCATTTTTCATGACTCTTTGGTTAGAATAATCATTCAAAAAATCAAAACAATCGGATATCAATTGCTACATGTATGAATTATGTTTGAATCAAGATTATGAGCTCCAATCATCTCACAAGTTCAATAACCTTCTACAATTTTTAACTAGCATTCTTCACTGATTAAAATTTACTTGAAATCTAATGATTTTCATTTGAAAATCTTCCAACGACCACAGGGCTTAGGCTTTCCAATTGTGCATAACTCAAATTACAAGTTAATCAACTAACTAGCCACATGTGAAAATATAAATGGCTGGAAAAGTAAACCCTAAACATATGGATAAAAAAGTTATGTTGACATATATTTTACACTGAATTATATATTTTTCCATATTTATTTTTGTGTCTGCTCCCTATTTGTATATGTTTTTATCCCTGTTGTACGGGCATGAAATATTCTTCCCGTATAATCCTGTTGATCAAGTCTGCGCTCCTCTGTATGTCGTCGCTTTACTCCCTGAAAACACAAACATGAGCTAGCCGGCGGGTGTGTGCCGGATACCTCTCCGATGCCTAAGTCAGCAAAATAGACAAATAGACAAAAAACTCTGTGTGTTCGGGAATCAAAGTTGTGTTATCTCTCCATAGGTGATGTTATGAGCTTTTATAGGTTCTGCGTGGCACAATCCTAATAGGACTCTTACTCCTCCATGTAGAGTCCTCCTAGGAATCACATTCCTGAAAGATAATGCTTATCTTTCAACACCCCCTCACTGTTTAAACCAAGTGAGATGGTTTTACCTAGGTCGAATGTCAATACGACCGGGATAACATGGCCATGCTAAAGCCGCAGACTAGACCGAGCTCCACCTAGCTTGGTTCTTCCTTTCACTGTGTGTACCTCGGTTCGACAAACTCCAACCAGGCTGTTGAGATCATGCTAACCATACTGAGCTAGGACCGAACTAACCCATAGCATGGTTCTGAGGAAGGCTCAACATACTTTGGCTCAATATGGTATGACCGGGCTAACTGTTACCGCGCCGACCGTGGTGACCGAGCTAACCACCAAGCTCTTTCGGACCAGACTAACTACAAAGCTCCTCTGGACCGGGCTAACTGTTACCGCGCCGGCCGATGTGACCAAGCTAACCACCAAGCTCTTCCAGACCGGGCTAACTACAAGGCTCCTCTGGACCGAGCTAACACTTTCGATCCACTTGCTAAGCTCTTTTTACCGCAACTGACACCTTTACCTCGGCTGATACCTTTACCTCGGCACCTTTACCTTGGCTGATATCTTTACCTCGGCTAACATTGCGGTCAACGAAGTTACTTCGGGTCTTCGCTCTGTTTGACTACCTTGCTTGGTAGCTCGGCCATAGCGTTGACCGCCACTAGGAAGTAGCTAAGTCCCGTAGCTAGGTCCCGTGGCTAGGTCTCATAGCTAGGCCACGTAGCTCGGTCCAATAACTTGGTCTCATATCTTGGTCCTGTAGCTCAGTCTCGTAGCTATAACTAGGTCCCGTAGCTAGGTGCTATAGCTAGGTCCCATAGCTAGGTCTCGTAGCTAGGTCGTAAAAACATCTTTGACCGCCACTCCAACCTAGCTCAGCCCAATTTGGCTACACAAATTACCCTCTCACCTGTGGATTTGCACCTTTGTCTGATGTTTTGTGTCATATCTCATAAAGTTAATAATTTTAGAGGGGCCATATAATAGATTTTTTTTTGTCAGGTCATATAATGAATTTGTTCACACATTTTTTGTATATGAAAAAAAAAAAAAGTCCAATTAGTACACATTAAAGTGTGTTTAGGAGAGAAAAGATTGACTGCACACTTAACCTCTGGCATAATTCACAAAGTGATTGTTCCAAGACTTGAACCCATAACCTCAATGTTATTAGCCAAGTCTTAACCATTGAACTAATGATCACTCCTAATTTTTTTATATGAACAATACACAAAATATGATTGGCCCAAATACGTGGACTTCACACCCAAAAAGTGTAATGACTCCACCCAATCAAAATGTATACATTGTTCACACACTCTTTGGGGGATGAACTCCGTAGATACAGCTCATATGCTTGTCTAGAGAAACAGTGGCTTACGAAAAGAGTTGAGTATCTTACTCTTTTGAGAACTGTTTGACTACCTTTGGCAACACTTCAAGCTTAAAATGGTTTGGCTTGGCATATAACAACATTCACGGAAGAATTCCAACTGAATTAGGACAACTTCCAAATTAACAGATAATTTCCTTGGCCGACAATCGTCTAACAGGTTCGATAACCTCCTGTAATTTTTAACTAGCATTTTTCCGTTATCATTGAAATTTACTTGAATTCTAATGCCTTTCTTTTGGAAATCTTCCAATAATTTGGACTTTTGGCTTTCCCATCTTGCAGAGCTCAAATATTAAGTCAATCAACTAACTAGCCACACATGAAAATATGGCTGAAAACATATTAAGGTCTTGATAGCCTACATGTATTTCTTTTGAGCATTGCTATTTAAGCCCAAAAGTAAGATTAATTTTCAAATTCTATGATGTGCCAATCAATTAGAATATTTAATACAGTTTCCTCACTCATATTTTCTTTAATTATTAACAAAACATCTCTCTTGCATATCATTGGGTTTAGATAGTGAACTTTTATATTCAAATATATATATTTTTTTACTTCCCTCAAATTCATTAAAATCTTGGGAGTTTGAAAGTCATTTACGGTGTTTGGTTGATTTTCATAATTATTTCTTCTTTTTTCAACTAAGGAAAAAGGTGAAAAACTATATTAACCTTCTTTGAGGTTTGAAAAAAATACATTGACCACCATAATTTTAACATAATTATGCTGAGCTATCTTACAATTTTATTTCATATCACATCTTGCCTCATTTTCATTATGATTAGTTAATCCTATGCATTAAAAAGTAAAATTGTCATTTATTTCACACTGAATTATATATTTCTCCTTATTTATTTTTTGTGCATATGCTCCCTATTTGTATTTGTTTTTATCACTATGGGTTTGCACCGATGTCAGATGGTTAATGCCATATCTATTAAAGCTTAATAATTTCAGTGGTGGCACACGAAAATAAATTTGTTCACACACCTTTTGTGTGTGGACAATACACAAAATCTGATTGGCCTAAATATGTGAACTTTACACCCAAAAAGTGTAACAACCCCACCCAAAATGGTAGGATCTATCATTTTACACCAATTAAAATGTGTGTATTGTTCACGTACTCTTTCTATTTGTAAACAAAATCAAAATTGGATTCGGTGGCATGCCAAAAGAGTTATGAACCATACTATTTTTTGGAGCTCTTTTACTAGAAGAAAATAACTTTACAGGTACCATTCCGCCTTCCTTTGGCAACGCTTCAAGCTTAAAATGGTTTGTCTTGGCATATAACAACATTCATGGAAGAATTCCAACTGAATTAGGACAACTTCCTAATCTACAAGAATTTTACTTGGGCTTCAATCGTCTCACAGGTTCGATAATCTCCTGCAATTTTTAATTAGCATTCTTGAATAATCATTTAAATTTACTTCAATTCTAATGTCTTTCTTTGGGAAGTCTTCCAACGTCTATTGGGCTTTTCATAAAATATATTGAGGTCTCGGGAGGCCCACCATAATTTCGTTTTAATGATTTGAACCATTCATTTTGTAGGGCTTTTCATATATATCATTAATGAAAAAAAATAATTAGGTCAATCATATAATTGTAACCTTTTCAATTTATTAGTTTCCAAAAACCCAAATGGTGTATTTTTAAAAACATGTTTGTCGTCCATTACTTTGGAGTGAAAAACGATAAAATGAAAAAATTGCGATTATCAAATCAACGTAATTTTTTCATGATAATATATACTAAGGATCTTATAAAATGAACTATTTAAATAATCGAAACGAGACCCTTGATCATCAAAATGATTTAGATCTTCCAAAACAAATGAAGATTATCACAGTCCGCACATATTTATTTTTTAATTCCCTCAAATTCATGAAGATTTTGAGTCAAATCTTGGGAGTTTGAAAGCTTTCGTGTTTGGTTGATTCTCATAATTTATATAAGTTAAACGATTTAGATCATTGAGGTCATCCCCAAAATGGGTTTACTAAGCCCATCTATTCTCTCAATTTGGATGGCCATCCAGTTTGAGAGAACTTTTTGAGCTTAGTGGTTTTATTTTGGGGTCGAGTTTGATAATCCAACCCATTCACTTTTTACAACTCATTGGTTAGAATAATTATTCAAAAAATTAAAATGAAAATATCAATAGCTATATGTTTAAATTAAGATGGGCTCCAATCATCTCACAAACTCGTTAACCTCCTTTAATTTTAAACTAGTATTCTTCACTGATTGAAATTTACTTGCAATATAATGCTTTTCATTTGGAAATCTTCCAACGACCACAAGGCTTTGGCTTTCTAAGCTTGCATAGCTCAAATTATAAGTCAATCAACTAACTAGCCACACATGAAAATATAAATGGCTGGAAAAGTAAACCCTAAATATATGGATGAAAAAGTAACTACATATTTCTCCATATTTTTTTTTGTGTCTGCTCTCTATTTTTATTTGTTTTCATCCTTGTGGATTCACACCTTTGTTTGATATTATATCTCTTAAAGCTAACAATTTTAGTAATGGCATATGAAAAAAAATTTGTTCACACAGTTTTTGTATAGTTTTTGTATATGAACAATATACAAAATATGATTAGCCCAAATACGCAAACTTTACACCCAAAAGTGTAATGACTCCACCCAATCAAAATGTCTGTATTGTTCACACACCGTTTCCATTTGTAAACAAAACCAAAATGGGATTCGGTGGCATACAAAATGAGTTGAGTACCTTACTCTTTTTGAGACCTATTTGACTAGAATAAAATAACTCTACAGGTACCATTCCGACTTCCTGGGTAAATACTTCAAGCTTGAAATTTATTGGCTTGGCACATAACAACATTCATGGAAGAATTCCAACTGAATTTGGACAACTTCCTAATCTATGGAGATTTGACTTGAGCTCCAATTCTCTCACAGGTTAGATAACCTTCTACAATTTTTAGTTAGTATTCTTCAATAATCATTGAAATTTACTTGAATTATAATGTCTTTCTTTGGGAAGTCTTCCAATGACTATTGGGCTTTTGCCATTTGGTTCATAATTGCAACTAAAACTTCGGAACTGAAAACTGGACCGATTTGAATGGTTTCACTATTTTCGAAACCAGAACCAAAATTAAAAAAAACAGACCATACTGGCAATTTGGACGGTGTTGGATCGGTCTACCAGTTCCACCACTTTTTTTTAACACCTTAGCTTTTGGCTTTCCCATCTTCTAGAGCTCAAATTGCAAGTCAATCAACTAACTGGGCACATATGAAAATATATTGAGGGGCTCGTGATGCCCATCATGGATTCCGTTTTGATGATTTGAATCATTAATTTTGCAGGGCTTCTGTATATATCATCCGTAAAAAAAAAAAAATTTAGGTCGATTATATAATCATAGCTTTTTCATTTTATTGTATTTGTCTTAAAAAAATTAATTTGTCTATTTTAAAACACATATTTGTCTTCCATTTCTTAAGAGATAAACGCGATAAAATCGAAAGATTACCAAAAATCAACTCAATCTAATTTTTTATGGGATGATATAGACTGAGAACCTTACAAAATGAATGATTTATATCATCGAAACTAGACCCTTGATCATCGAAATGATTTAGATCTTCCAAAATGTAAGTGGTTGGAAACATATTAAGATTATCACAGTCCACACATTTTGGTTTTACTTCCCTCAAATTCATGAATATTTTGAGTCAAAATCTTGGGAGTTCGAAAGCTATCATGTTTGGTTGATTCTCATACTATGTATAAAGTAAACGATTCGAATTATTAAGGTTGGCTCCAAAATGGGCTCATTAAATCAAACTGATCTGGCATTACACAACAACGGGTATCTATTCAGTCAAGTCTGGGTATGAGTGTGTTCTTACGCTTAGGCAAAATGGAATGAGTGGTAGTCTAAGGGGGGTAGATAGCAGCAATCGATAATTGATGAAGTTGTACTGGAAGAAACTTTGGAAAATTCCCATTCATGGTAAACTTCAGCTTTTTCTCTGGAAGTGTAGTTTGGACATTGCACTGGTGGGAGCTCGACTGAGATGTAAGAAGCCGCTAGTGGAGGCTACCTGTTTGAGTTGTAAAGGGAAAAATGAATCTGTGATGCATATGATTGCTGAATGCCCTTTCGTTGTTCGAGTCTGGTTTGCTTCACCACTTCGGAGTTGCTTTCTGCTACTTTTCAAGTGCTGGTAGCATCTATTATTTGGAGTTTGTGGAAGGGTGAGAAAGACTCATATTTTAATGCTGGCAAAGGTGATCCCATCAATGTCATGGTGGGGGCAGTGTTGAGAGCGGAGCAATTTAAGGAAGCAAATTTACCTATTCTTGTGGCAGGGGCATAGTCAGATGTGTCAACTAATGGGCCAGAAATTCGGTGGCAAGCGCTGCGGGGGGGCTGGTTCAAGAAAAACTTTGATGGGGCTTGGGTAAAGCAGACTGGTATTGGAGGTTTTGGAGTGCTGGTGGTGGGTATATTTTGGGGCCGACTTGGGATGGCCATTCAATTTGAGAGAATAGTTTGGGTTTGGTGGGGAAATTTTGGGCCAACTTTGGTAATCCAAACTGTTAAAAGCATAATGACCCCATCCAAAATGATAGTTTTTATCATTTTACACCATTCAAAATGTCTGTACTGTTTACACATCTTTCAAATTGTAAACAAAATCAAAATCAGACTCGACATACCAAAAAAATTGATTACCTTAGTCTTTTCGAGAACTCTTCTACTATAAGAAAATAATTTTGCAGGTACAATTCCGCCTTTCTTTGGCAACACTTCAAGCTTAGAATGGTTTGGCTTAGCACAGAACAACATTCATGGACGAATTCCAACTGAATTAGGACAACTTCCTAATCTGCAGACATTGTACTTGAGCTCCAATAATCTCACAGGTTCGATAACCTTTTGCAATTTTTAATTGGCATTCTTCAATAATCATTGAAATTTTCTTGAATTTTAATGTCTTTCTTTAGGAAGTCTTGCAATCTCATCTTGTAGAGCTCGAATTGCAAGTCAATCAACTAACTAGGCACATATGAAAATATAGAGTATGACTTCTCTCAAGTTTAAATATGAACTTGAAGGGCCTGTGAGACCCACAATGAATTTCGCTTCGATGATCCAAACCATTTATTTTATAAAGTTTTCTGTGCATATCAATCAAATAATCGTAACCTTTTCATTTTATGTTATTTGTCTCAAAAAAAAAAAAAAATGGTATATTTTGTAAAACATATTTGTCATCCATTTTTTAGGAGAAAAACAAAATAAAATAAAAAGATTATGATTATCACGTTAACTTAATTTTTCCATGGTGGTATAAATTGAGGACCTTACAAAATTAATGGTTTAAATCATTAAAATATGAACCTTAGTCATCAAAATAGTTTAAATCATCCAAAATGTAAATGACCGAAAACATATTGAGATCATCACAACCCACACACATTTCTTTTTACTTCCCTCAAATTGTTGAAAGATTTTAAGTCAAAACCTTGGGAGTTTGACGTTATCGTGTTTGGTTGATTCTCATAGTCTGTATAAAGTGAACAATTCGGATGATTGAGTTCAACCACTAATTCCAACTGCTCTGTCAAGTTAGATGGCCAACTTGAATGAACAGTTTAGATTCAGTGGATTTATTTTGGGGCGAATTTCAGTAATCTAAACCGTTCACTTTTTAGAATAATCATACAAAAAATTAAGATGATCGAATATCGATAGCTATATATTTCAATCATATTTCTATTATAACAAATGAATGGTTATTTTTAAAATTATATTTGTCATCTATTTTTTTAAGACGAATTTGTAGTGCACCCCAAACACCCTCTTAGAACTTGAGAGAATCCAAATCTATCTTCCATCCTCTCCTTTTTTTTTTTTTTTTTTTTTTTTGAATTTTGAATTTTGAAGTAGAAACCAGTTAGAAAAAAACCAAAAAAATATTTTTGAAGTTTTTAAAATTTATTTTTGCCCCCTAAAAAGAGAAAATGATGAGATTTTTTTTGTTTTTTGTCCTTTTTTTTTTTTTTAATGATAAACACAATTTGAAAACTCAACTGAACTTGTCCATTATACCGTAGTTTATTACAACAATGTTACATTTATCAATTTTTTGATCATATTTTTCTTATCACATAATTGTTGGTGTAATGGATCTCACATGTATCGTCTAATATCTAATAAATGTGAATGTACCGAATTAGATGCGATAGTTCTATGATGTACACCCTTAAAAGGGGATAATAAAATTGTGAGTAATGCTAGTGATTCCAAATATTTTATCAACATTTTTATCAAATGTCACACATTGACGTGGGGCCCATATGTGACTCACATGGTGTGGATCCCATACTCTTGTGAGACATTTAATAGAAATATTGGTAAATTCCTACCATTTTTCAATAATTGTTACACTACTTTGTAGTAGTTATATGGAGAATAAAGTAAATGTTGTAAGGAAAATGGCAAAATCAAATAGCACTTTCGGATCATGTGACCTCAAAATCTTTAACAGTTATAATAACTTCATTTTCAACATTAACATGTATTAAATTGTACATAATTCCCTAACCAACTAGGCTTAGCCTAGTTGGCCACCCTGCCTTCCTTAGGGCTTAGTCCCAAGGAGGTCATGGGTTCGATTCCCCTTAGGGGGGTTGAATTAAGAGAGTGCTAGCATTTCGGTGCTTTGCCACAACTAACATTTGCCGATCAAAAAAAAAAAAAAAAAAAATTTGTACGTAATTCCTTGATGAACATATCTTCATGACAAGACATGAAAAATAATGTTAATGCAAATTTTGTAGGTACATGCTTGAGTCTCATGAGAACGTTATGCATATGACTTATAAAGACTTATCCTGTAACAAGTTTGAATGCTAAATAGTCCTAATGATTTTGCTAACCTTAGACAATTAATAGTTCTGAATGTTTCAAGGAAATATATATATATATATATATTTTCTAAACATATCTTCATGACAAGACGTGAAAAATAATGTCAATGCAAATTTTCTAGGTACATGCCTGAGTCTCTTGAGAACTTTATGCATATGACTTATAAGGACTTATCCTGTAACAAGTTTGAATGCTAAATAGTCCTAATGATTTTGCTAACCTTACACAGTTAATAGTTCTGAATGTTTCAAGGAAATATATATATACATATTTTCTAACATTACACAGATTGTTTATTTGGATTTATCATGAAACAATTTCAATCACAACTTATTTATTTAAACTTTTCAAATATTACAGGTCCAATTCCATCTGGGTTGTTTAATATTTCGTCATTGTCGCACTTACTCCTTGGTGCTAATCGACTCAATGGTCAGCTCCAAGAATTCCCAAATAATTCATTGCAATTGTTATATTTGAGCATCAATGAACTAAGTGGCCCCATCCCACCACTTGTGGCGACAAACTTTTTAATCTCACACAATAAATTCACAAAGATCCCTTCAGCGATTTGCAATGTGAGTTCCATTGAGATCCTTGATTTGTCTCATAATAGCTTGAGTGGTGTAATTCCACAATGTTTAGGAAACTTCAGCACTGTACTAAGTGTGTTAGATCTTAGTATGAATAACTTTCACGGTAGCATTCCGACCTCATTTCCAGAGGGAAACAAGTTGAGGACTATTGATTTAAACGGGAATCAATTGGAAGGGAAAGTGCCACGATCCTTGGCAACATGTAGACGCTTGGAAGTTCTAGACTTCGGGAACAACAATATAAATGACACATTCCCCTACTGGTTGGAAACCCTTCCAGAGTTGCAAGTCCTTGTCTTTCAATCCAATAAATTTCATGGTCCCATGGGCTCTTCCAAAACTCAACTACCCTTTTGTAAACTTCGAATCTTGGATCTCTCTCACAATGAGTTTAGTGGCTTTTTGCCAACAACATATTTCAAGCATTTCAAAGCTATGGGGATCATCAATGAAAGTGTGGGACTGAGATATATGGGGGAATCTTATTATGATGATTCAGTGACAATCATGATAAAGGGTCTTGAGATTGAATTACCAAGAATCCTAACAATTTTCACGACGATTGACTTATCACACAACAAATTTAGTGGAGAGATTCCAAATGTCATCGGAAAGCTTCATGCACTTCGATTGCTTAACTTATCTCACAACAACCTTGTTGGCAATATCCCTCCATCATTGGGAAATCTATGTTCGCTTGAATCCTTGGACCTCTCTTCAAACCAACTTTCGGGTAAGATTCCTAGCCAATTGACAAGTCTGACATTTCTTGGAGTCTTAAATTTTTCAGAAAATCATCTTGAGGGTCGCATACCTCGTGGCAACCAATTTGAAACATTTGATAATAGCTCATACAATGAGAACTTGGCATTGTGTGGGTTTCCTCTATCAAAGGAATGTGAACATAATAAGACACCACTACATCCAACACCTCTGTTGCACAAGGAAGATGATCCAACTTTTGCACGTGGATTTAGTTGGAAAGTGGTACAAATGGGGTACGGATGTGGAATGGTATTGGGATTGGTAATGGGATATATTATGTTCTTAATTGGAAAGCCAAAATGGTTTGTAAGAATTGCTGAAGGAGAACAACAGAAGAAATGGAAAAGGTCACACAAGGGTGGTAACAGACACGGAGGAAGAAGAAAGTAGCGAACACAAATGTCATGTCAGGTAAGTAGTATTTTACCTTTTTTTTCATTGTTAGATGAATAGAGAACTTTTTTATAATGGCATAAAGCTTAAGTGATGTTTCTCTCATTGTATAATGCTACAGAAATAAGTAAGATTTGTGCAAAAAATTCTCCATTCACTTGAGTAACTTTAAATAAGCTTACTGATAAAGCAGTTTGAAATGCAAGCTTTGCACAAGGTAATTAAAATGCGTAGAGTTATTAGATTGATTTGGAAACAAAGCCAAATCATAATTTTATTTTAATTAGTCAATGAACAATGTGTGTACTATTAATGAAGTGTTATGCTATAATGATCATATATAACCTAGTTTGATGAATCAACATTATACACAATACATTGATCGCTGCCAAAAATACCATGTTCATCAAATATCCTGAACATTTTATCATGAAAATTGTCCTAATATGGCCTAAGGTCACTTCAGTCCCTTGGTTTCGTTGTTCTCTAAATAAGACTACAAGGCACCACTAGAGTCATCATTGAAACATTATTCTCTAAATAAATTACTAGGTTCTTTAATGGCGAAGAGAGAAAAAATGGTTTAATTGACTGACTCAACAGAAGCATTATGGTCAGGGACTTATTAGAATGCTTAACAGATCAAAGCTTTTAATTAAAAGTACTTTGCATTGAATGAACTCTTTAAGGAAAGCAGGGCAGGGAGAAAGAAGTCACCAAAAAGTGTAGTTCCAACTCTCAGCTAGAATCTAACATTCTGTTTTTCTTCTTGACGCGATTTTAGATGCCCAAGCCTTGCCCTATAGAAAGTATATCAGCAATCAGTGAGTAATAGAACAGCATACAATGTTTTTGTTCTAAGTAGATATTTCATGCAACCTAAAAATAAAGCTCGAGTTTGTTTAGGAATGGATTGCAAAAAATGTACATCCCTGTATAGTTTTGCACCATGAAAATAAATAAATACATAAATAACCCAATTGATGAGAGGTTTTGATAATACACCAAAACAAGCAAAACTTCTTTTTACTTCTTTCTTCTTCTTCTTCTTCTTCTTCTTGTGGAGAACTGCATGTTCCCAGGAATAGGTGGCAAAATATGCCTCACTAATACTATTACAGATTTTTAGCAAGAAGTTCATGGTGAGTCGTGACAAACATGTCATCAACAGCCAATGATTTCTCGATCCCTATAGCAATGAAACATAACTTGGTTTTTGGTGCTGGAATATATGCACCGCATCATGGAGATATAATACTCAAAATACATCAATTGTATAATGTACGACTCCAGTATATCAATTTTACAACATTATAGATTAGGCCATGTAGAAATGCCCTGATTTTTTAAACCAACCATGGTGCACTTGATGATCTACTACAACAAAGCTCTAATTCAACCTAGAAAACGAGAAACTAGGGTTGGAAGTCGAACCATATCTTATTCAAGAGTTTTATGTAGCAACTGGAAAACAACAATGGAATTGACATGCATAATTAGTTAAAATTTACCATGGGAAAAGATAATGCCACAAGGGAGATCAAAAGCTCTACCCTTGTGACCAATGCCCTAGTCATTACAATTAGATAAAACAGATAATACATTAAAACCATTTTTGAAAATCTTGTTTAGAAAAGTGCCCTAATAGGAAATACTTAGTTGCATGAAGTGGGGGCAGAACTGGGAACACATAAAATAGTCTAAGATTGAAAGCGCCTAAGGAAGGGTTAATGTATTTTATATATAAATATATTGTTAGGTTTTTATTCTTGGCTATCTCGTTTGACAAAATTCCTTTCAATTGTAATTTTGTTCAACTTTTATTTCAGCGATGCTATGAGTTTTTAGATGCGAATCTAACTCGAATTGTGCCTTGCAGAGAAATTTGTGATGTTTATTCTTTCATGTTTGCCACTTCGCTGACTATGTCGGGGGATCGAGCTGCCCGATCAGCTCGCGGGGGTCTAGGGGGTAGCGCTCTGTCACACCCAAACCCGCCCCTAAAAGTTTGGGCATGACCACTTCAGAAACGGACACTCAACCTGCTATTTATATAATATATGGGGCCTGAACGGAAGCATTAAATATCAAAATTTGACAATAGAAACAAACTCCATTGAGCTACTACTATCATGCCAGGATCCCAAACTGTAAACAGACAAGTAAAATCTAAAACATACACCTGAATATCGGATATATATACACATAAACACAAGCCCAGCTCTATAATTGGGCATACACCAAAAACGTTTCAGAAGAAAGTATTATATACATTTCAATCCTTAGGCCAACAACTAGAGTGCAAAACCAAAGTTCGTCAAAACGTCATGAAAATAAGAGCAGCTTCTCTTAGGCTTGGACATGGAAAGGTTGACCAAAGAGGACAAGCGTCATGGTTTAGGACTGACCACTTGGTTGGTTACCTACAGAAACAGACATAGCATAGGGTGAGCCAAGCTCAGTGAATAGTATGATACATAAATGCACAATTTAAACATAATACATAACAATGCATAAATAAATGCGAAGATCATGTAGTTAATCTGTTCCTGTTTTCATTTTAAATGGCCTTAGGCCCCAATCGTGAGTCATAATGGTTTTAAGCCCTTGAACACATTAACATTAAACTTTTAAACATAATGGCATATAGCCCTTGAACATATGGCATGGAGCCCTTAAACATAGTATATATACATATGTAACTGCAGAACTCAAGAAGTTAGTCCAATACTATTGTATTTTCAGAACGGCCTTAGGCCCGGAAATAACAGAACAGCCCTTGGCCCAAAAATACCGACTGGCCAAATTGGAAGCAAAGAAGCTAGGTTGAATGCATCCTCTCGAAATCCCAAAATCTAATCGGTTGGAAAAGTTGATCTTCACTTCTTCTTCACCCTTGATGCACGATCCATGGTGGATTGTTGGTAAAAATAGATGAAATCAAAGGTTTGAGAGTTTGTATGTATGGACTCAAGAGGTGTCTCACATGGACTCTAGAGGTGGCTCACAATGTAGCACTTAGTTCCAAGTAGCACTTTGTTCCATACCAATAATTAGCAGGTCTTACAGACCAAACCATACATAAATGTCATACCATAAACGGAAATAAATTCATACATATGCATTATGCTTGAATCATTAACAGAGATCAGAATTCATACTTACTTATACTTAGTCTTTTAATAGCGCTGGCAGATCAATAAAAAGCATTCTTGTTAGTTCCATAAAGAAATTCCTTAACATTGTGAACTTATAGTACACTTGAACTTGTACATATTTAAGCATGTAACATAGCTTGTAACATACTTACGCTTGTATCGTACTTAAACTTGTAACATACTTGAATTTATAACATACATGGACTTATAACATACTTACATACATGAACTTATAACATACTTAAACTTGAAAACTTGTAACACATTTAAACTTGTATATACTTGTACTTGTAACCTTACTTAAACTTGTACTTGTACATAGTGGAACTTGTCACACATATATATAAACTTGTAACATTCTTGACTTAGAGCATACGTAAACTTATAACAGACTTAGACTTAGAACATACGTAAACTTGTAACTTAATTATTTGAACCCCGGTATTATTACCCCTGGGTAAGGGCCTTGTACTAAAGATGATGTGAATACTTCTACATATATGAATAATCATTAAGTTAATAGAAACAGAGTTTTTTCTTGTTATATCATGTCATTATCATGCACTTTAACCAAATAAAATGATTCATATTCTTATGTGGGTTGCATACTGATGGTAAACCTTTACATTCCTACCATAGATTCTAAACGGTCTTGGGTCCCTTCGTAACATAATCTTAAATTCACACAACATCATTCTTTAAGAATGAACATGAGTTCCACTTATTCTTTAAGAAATAACATATTATACTGATAAATAACAAAGGGCTAATATTCGTCATTAACGGAATATAGGGATTCCAAAGTCATACCGACGTACGCAAATCTTTCAGCGTTCATATAAGTTCACGTTACTTTCCAATTGTCATAAATGTTTGAATAATACTTACAAAGAACAGAACATTAGTGACAATAATTGTCAATAGTATATAAAATGTACATTCTTGTACTACTACTCACAGTGCTACAACGGAGTGTTTGCACCTCCTGGAGTGTGCCCTGCACACATTCAAACCTTACAATTTAGTTCCCTTTTTATATCAAATTACTTTCTGTTTTGTTTTACTTCGAAGGAATTATACATATTAAAAAGGCATCAAATACATATTCCGACAACATTAGAGAATTCTACACGCAAAACGGAGCGATCCACGTTTTTCAGCATGGGCCGCACGTGCAGCTGTGAGCCCCGCACGTGCGGCAGAATGCCCCCGCACGTGCCTTTTAGGCAGAACCAAACCCAAAATTTCAGCATTTGCCGCACGTGCGGCGATTCCCCCTTTTGGTCCGAAATTTGCATCAAAATCTCATCTTTTGGAGAATGTTTCCAAGGCTCAAGGATGGATCTTTTCAATACCAAATCATGGTTCAAAAACATGTAATTCAAAGCATCATATACACAATCTAAGTTGTTCGAAGTGATGGGGAGAAGGTAATGACTGCTGAGACCTGCAACCAAATGATGGAAGTGCGAAACTAGAGGATTGGCTCCATAGAGGAGACGGTTGTTAGTCAGAGCTTGGAAAATCAAGTGTGTATGCCAGGTTATGTTAGAAAGGCCAGGTGTGAATATTGAAGTGATTTTGGGCCAGAACAATACACCAAAGCAGGCGGGTGGGCTTTATAAATCACAAACTGGGCTAAGCCAGCAAGAGTTAAATGCAAGAAATAAGTCAGATGAAGGTGGGCCAGGTGGAAGAGTGTCAAGTCTCTCTGAAGCCCATGAGAAGGAGCCCAATAGTAGACACTCAATGCTTAGAAAGGGGAAGGAAAAGATCAGCAGTAAGAAAAAATCGAACCAGAATTGTTTAAGGAAAAAATCCTTCGAGTTAATGAGGAAGTATGGAAGTAGAGGTGCCTCAACAAGTAGAACACTGCCCAGGGCTGCAGTCTAGTGAGCATCAGTGGCGACATGTCCCTATCTGCATCAATAGAGGGTGGAGTTGACAAAAGGAGGGTTGTCCTGAATGAAGCTGAAGCAACTCGGAAAATGGTGGAAGTTCTCCTAGTACAGTTCAATGGAAAGAGAGCTGAAGTGTTGGAGAAAATAGTGGACCCAGAATTGATGGACAAGGAACATATTGAAGG